ACCTTGGTGTAGTCCTGGACAGCAATCTGTTGTGGAAGCGCAATGAGGAAGAAAGAGTGAAAATACTAGTAAAGCTTTATATACCTCACGCAGATGCTCGTCACAACCTGCGGGCTCTCTGCCTCTCTCATGCGCTGGTACTACACAGCTATTGTAAGACCTCTACGGTATAGTAGTATGGTGGACAGGCTTGCGCAAATCCACCACCGGACAACCAATGGAAAGGGTTCAGAGGCTTGCAGCGCTGTGCAATTCCAACGACGGCTATTGAACCGGTATTAATCTTTGAGCATAGCTTAGTGGGTAATGGCGGTTTAGCATATACCGTCTAAATTATTCCAATTTTCAATTGGGAATGAAGATTCAAAGTAAACATTGAAAAATATGGTTGGTATGTTAGCTACGCGAAACAACGGATGGCTCGAAAGTGGATGATGGAGTTGGTGCAGAAATATACTGCCCAGAGTTAGGTTTAATACAAACTTTTAAGTTACGAGACCACTGCATTATATTCCAAGCTGAGGTATCTGCCATTGCTAACCCCGCGGAGCTGGCTTCTGATGCACCTGCAGGCATTTCCAGAGCCATAAAGGCGTCGAGAGCAGTGAAATAGTGGACGAGATTTAACAATGGCGTACAGCTAACATCCGACAACGTGATCAACATTGGGAAACCCATAACGCATAAAATATCTGTTTTAAATAAATAACTTTTAGTGTCTCACGCGAAGCTGAGAAAGCCATGGTTTTTGAAATATTGCCAACGTGTAGCGAGCTGACAGATTTTGTCAAAGCACATACACAGGCACAAGGGGCGCTGTAGCTACTGCTGTTGCTCCCTCTAGCTGCCGGCTGCTCGGTTAGCCGTTATACATTGTTTGGCATTGCGCCACTGGTGCGCTGTTGTACAAGTCGGAAGCGACTCTGCTGCCAGCAGTGGGCAGCTGTTGCGGCTAAGGCGCAGCGTTGCCACTATTGTTTGGCCTTTGAGTTGAGCACGAATGCCGTGTTGCCTGTTGAGTTGAGCTGAGTGGCTCCATTATGTTTCTTTGGAGTTGGCTTRCGGGGAGTTATGTGTAAAGTTTTTATTGTTTGCATTTTATATGCACTTGTTGCTTGTTGGCATAGCAGCTGTGGACTTCTGATTTACCGCCAGGGNAAATGTGTTCCTTAAAAATTGCGCCGGCTTCTTATGGAAGTTTGAGAAAAGCACGGTTCTAGTCTGGAGTCTTAAAATGTTCGAGGTCAAACCAATAAC